CCCCTTGCCGCCCCCCCCCCCCCCCCGCTGGCTGGCTGCGGGGAGCGGAGTATATTTTTAGCCCGAGGCGGGCGGGAGGGTGCTAAGCCCCCGTAACCTTCAGCCCATTTTGCTGCAGGGAGCTCATCCTTTTGCCATCTGCTGGTCAGCACAATTCGGCAACTGGTATATTTAAAGGCGCCCCAGCTTTGGGGGGCGGGGGAGGAAAGGTGGGGGAGCTTTCCTTCCTTATATAACGCCTCCTCGAAGGTCAGCGGAAGCGAGGGTCCTCCTGGGCAGGCCGGGGGGGGGGCGTTCGACCTCCCCAGGAAGAGTGCAGGCTCCTCTCCGGAGGAGACGATTCGGGGCCCTGTACTGGGCCGCCATAGCTCCCTGCCAGTGTTCCCTCTAAGCCGAGATAGTGCGAGCCAGCTCACAGTTTTTTAGCCTCCAGCTCACACATTTTCCTCTCAGCTCAGGAAGGATGGGGCTCCAGAGCAAACTAATGTATGCAGCAGCCAAATCGCTCGCTCACAACAGTAAGGCCTGTAGCTCAGTGTTATGTATTGAGCCTAAGCCATTCCTCAAGCTGTTCTAGGAATGGGCTGAGCTTGCCACTTAAGAACAACAGCTCCCAAGGATCCTGGAACAGACCAATAGATAAGTGTCTGCTGCTGCTGTGAACGAGCCGGGCCCACTCTGAGGCGACCCTCCTCTGCACCTTTTATGTTGCATCTTGCAGTCTTAGTCAAGGCTCCTTCTAAGCTGTGGAGTCCTGTGAGCAAAAATTCTACTTTGTGAGCTCCTGGCATCCAAGTTGTGAGCGGGCCATTTGGCTCCTGCATAAATCAGTTTGCTCTGGAGCCACCTCCTCCCTGAGCGGAGACAAAACTGTGTGAGCTGGAGGCTAGGAAACTGCCAGCTAGCTCACACTAACTCAGCTTAGAGGGAACACTGGTCTCAGTGCCAGGGGTGGAGTGGGACTGGAAGGATGGCTGGCTCTTGCCCCACCCAAGTCTCTCTTCTTTCAGAGCATGGCCAATCCTGGCTTGGTTGAATGAGAACGTCTCCAGCTTTGGGTACCCGTGGACAAAGGGGGAGAGCAGGGTTGCCACCTCTACGTTGGGAAATACCTGGGGGTGCGCGTGTGTGTGTGTGTGTGTGGTGGAGCCGGGAAGGGCGGGGTTTGGGAAGGGGCGGGGCCTTGGCAGGGCGCAGGGCCATAGAGTCCACCCTCCAAAGCGGCCATTTTCTCCAGGGGAGCTGATCTCCTCGGTTTGACTGGAGGTCAGTTGTAAAAGCAGGACGTCTCCAGGCCCCACCTGGAGGTTGTATCAATATAAAGACACTCTGTGAATATTGTATTGGTACAATATCCCACCTGGAGGTTGGGAGCCCTCGCCCGGGAACCTTTGGATCAGCACTTGTTTGGGGGGGCCTTTAAAAAGGTCGGTCTTCCTCACGGAGGTGGCAAGACTGTCTGCAGGGACTTTGTGGCCAGTCTTTCCTTCCTGAGGAGTGGGCAAGGGTGGCGGGGGGGGGGAGGAAGCCAGACAAGGCCAGTCTCTCCTCCGTGGCGGGGCTCGTTCCCTCCAGACATGGAGGTGGGCAAGGCGGCGGCGGCGGCCTCTGGGATTCGCTGCCTGAAGCGGCTGTTCCGAGTAGCCCCCCTGAGAAGGTGACTCCTCTGTCATCCGAGAGCAAGGGGGTCCCCAACACAGGGCCCCATGGGCATTGTGGTGCCCGCGGCGCTGAAATATTGGCTCTTTCCCAGTGTATTTTTGTCTTAATTGCCCCTCTTTGGGCTTCTGCTGTGTGGTTGGGTCCATCTCCCGTGGCAGCCATTTTGTGGCTGTCTCCGCCTCCGGCGGCGGCCATTTTATAGAAGTCTAATAAAGGGCCAGTATTAAAAACCTAGTCGAAACTTATAATATACAAACATACATGTATTTATTAGAAAGACAGCTAAAAACATATAAGGGCCCAATGAAAGCCTCGTAAAAGAGTTGAAGCAGCCTGAACACAAGGGCCAATACACATGGCCTGACGCGTTTTTGCCCTATTGGGGCCTTCTTCAGAGGTCAAACAATACAGAGGTACACGTAACATTAATACATATTAAAATAAGATAACCAATAAGTGAATACTGGGCTTAACCTTCCTTTTTTTGGTCCAGTATTCACTTATTGGTTATCTTATTTTAATATGTATTAATGTTACGTGTACCTCTGTATTGTTTGACCTCTGAAGAAGGCCCCAATAGGGCGGAAACGCGTCAGGCCATGTGTATTGGTCCTTGTGTTCAGGCCGCTTCAACTTTTTTACGAGGCTTTCATTGGGCCCTTATGTGTTTTTACCTGCCTTTCTAATAAATACATGTCTTTTTGTATATTACAAGTTTTCCCTCAATAAGTTTTAATCCATTAAAGATGGAATTGACTGTTCTGGAGACCAAAGTTAACATTTCAGCAGTTTCCACAATCTTATCTTTCGTAGTGTTGGAGCTTGCAGTGTAAGGCGTTATTCTCGAGTAGTTCCCAAAGAAAGGCTCAATGGCAGCGGCGGGGGGGGGGGGGGGGTTTACAACAAGGCCGGGGTTATTTGCTTGTTGTTAGAGAAGAAAGAGCACTCGAAGTCAATTAAATTTAAAAGACCTGTCCTGGCTTCAGTTCAACAAACAATCCGAAGTGATATCTTCCTGAGGACTAGTCAGATAAAAGTCACAAAGTTGAATTAAAAATGTAAATATTTAAAACTTGCGAAGCGTCTCTGTCTGCTGCAGGTGTTGCCAGTTTCCGGTTTTTAATACGGGCCCTTTATCAGAGTTCTTTCTTAGCCTCGCGGTTCTTGATTCCAGTTTTTGGGTCAAGTTTGTCTTCCCCTCCCTGTGTCTTACTGGCAGCCATTTTGTGCCTGCGCCCACCCCCCTGTGTCAGAAGGCCAAAGGTGCCGAAAAAGGCTCAGGAGGTTTGGGAGGCCCAGGCCTAGAGAGCCGCAGTGCCCGGGTCACCCCGTAGGACTCCCTGCCTCTGAGGTGATGAGGAGGGAGGAGGGAGACGACGCGTTCTGTGCCGGCCATCGGGCTCACACGGCCTACCCGTAGTTCCGTGAGGCCCTGAGAGGCTTTGGGGGTGGGCATGCGGCCATGCCCAGCGATGGCTCGTCTGCTGGCGATGTGCCTGGGCAGATGCCTTCTGTGCCACTGGGTCTGGGGTCACATGGGTGGGCGAGCCGGTTTGGGACTCTGAACTGTGTCACGAATAACTTAGCAAGCTGATTCCCGCCAGGTGGGAATCAGTGTTGTGGACGTGCCCAAGGCAGGCTTCTCTTGTTGTCTTTCCTGGCTTGGAATTTCAGTCTCTGAAACTCTACCTTCTGCTGTCCTGCTCTTAGTAACCCCATACGCACACACCTTAAGAACATAAGAATGTAAGAACATAAGAGAAAAGCCAGTGTTGGATCAGGCCAATGGCCCATCCAGTCCAACACTCTGTCACACAGTGGCCAAAAGTACCAGGTGCCCTCAGGAGGTCCAGCAGTGGGGCCAGGACACTAGAAGCCCTCCCACTGTTGCTCCCCCCCCCCCGAAGCACCAAGGATATAGAGCATCCCTTGCCCCAGACCGAGAGTTCCTGTCTATCCCTTGTGGCTAATAGCCACTGATGGACCTCTGCTCCATATAAAGAACATCAGAGAAGCCAATGTTGGATCAGGCCAATGGCCCATCCAGTCCAACACTCTGTCACACAGTGGCCAAAAATACCAGGTGCCATCAGGAGTTCCAGTAGTGGGGTCGGGACACTAGAAGCCCTCCCACTGTTGCCCCCCCCCAAGCACCAAGGATACAGGGCATCCCTTGCCCCAGACCAAGAGTTCCTGTCTATCCCTTGTGACTAATAGCCATTGATGGACCTCTGCTCCATATGCTTATCTAATTCCCTCTTGAAGCCGTCCATGCTTGTAGCCGCCACCACCACCTGTGGCAGTGAATTCCATGTGTGAATCACTCTTTGGATTTAGAAGGACTTCCTTTTATCCGTTCTAACCCGACCACTCAGCAATTTCATGGACTGCCCACGAGTTCTTGTACTGTGAGAAAGGGGGGAAAGTCCTTCTTTCTCTACTTGTTCTTTCGCTGGCATAATCTTGTAAACCTGGATCGTGTCACCTTCATTTTCCTGGCATCTTTGTTTGCCTGCTTTGCTCAGCTGGTGACCAGGAGGGCAAGAACCCCCCCCCCAATACACACACACACACACACACACACACACACGCTGGACTGCTGCTGGGTGGGCTGGGAGGCTTGCTAAGGCGGAGGGACCTTTCTTCAGCAGCGTTGTCGGTGTGGCCCAAAACATTTGCTCCCGGCAGCACCTGTTTGCACGCAGTTTATTGATAGCAGCAGGAAAAGCAAGCTAGATTCCAGGGCCGGTGGCTGGGAGAGGAGGACTGCGAATGTATTTATAAGAGCCTCAAAATGTTCCTCGGCTTCGACACCCCCGAGAGACACGTGCGCGGTGTCAAAACACGGGCTGTTTTGGAAGAGAGGGGGCCGATCAAACTGACTGACCGTGTTCTGACTGTTTAGAACTGCAAGTCTCTGCCCCGGATGGCACGGAAGACGCTGCCAGCCTGGCCGAGGGCCACTTGTTGTCTGGAGACCCCAGCCTGGCCCAGAAGGAGGGGATGCTCTATGGCGACGCCGCTGCACAGCTTCCTGGGAAGGGACTCCTCCTCCAGCCCGCGGTCAGCCATCGGGATGCCCACAGAGAGCCCCACGCCATGGCGAGTGCCGGCCTGGAGGCCCACGCTGACATCTCGGGTGAGAAGGCAGCAGAGGGCGCCGTGGCCCAAGGAGGAAGGGGAGACGGACCGGGATACCCGGGGGCAGCGTTGGCTGGAGAGGCGGCTCCTGAATCTGAGGAGGATGAGCGGGAAGGTGCCCGTGGAGGTGGGCCCCAGTTGCATCCAGGGCCCGGTGAAGACACCCTCCTGGGAAGAAGCGTAGAGACCTCCGAGAGCCCACTCACGTCCTCCGTTCAGGACACCCCGGGCACCCAGGCCGCAGACTCAGGCGAAGGCACTGGAGGCGACTCTGGGGCAGGAGACTTGAGTGTTGGCTCCTCCGTGGAGGAGCTCTTGGAGGCAGCGGGTGCCACCCTGCAGGGCACCGAAGAGACCGAAGGGGGGGAAGTCCCGGAGGATCTGGAGGCCGGAGAAGGAGGTTCCAGAGAGGAAGAGGGAGCCAGCCTGAGCGAGAGGGAGAGAGAGAGTGGAACAGCGGAAGGCCCCAGGCAGTTTAAGGCATCCCGTTCTGATGATGATGAAGAAGAAGAAGAAGATGATGATAGTGATGATGATGATGAAGATGAAGAAGAAGATGAAGAAGATGATAATTATGACGTCGTGGTGGCAGCAAGAGAAGAGCTTGCAACCCCAGCCCATGAAGAAGAAGAAGATGGTGATGATTCTGAGGAGGAAGGAGGAATGGAAACGGAAGACATCCCTTTGGCAGTAGGAGAGATTTCCCAGGAGGAGGAGGAAGGCGGCGTCGCCCTTGGAGACGGAGGAGATTCCGAAGAGGAAGCCGATGGGGAAGACCCACCCAGCAGCAGAGACACCGGCCTGGAGACGGCTCCCGGGGGGCCCCAGCTCCCGCCCCTAGAGGGAGGCCTCAGTGAAGCTGGAACAGAGTCCGGGTTGCCTAGCGATGGGGACGTCCTCCACGGAGGTGACGGGTCCCCCCCTGGAGACAACAACCCAGCCGTGGCTGTGGACCCCGTGGCCAAAGCCGCCAACCCGCCAGCCGATCCTCCCACTCAGCTCTCCCAGAGAGGTTCTGTCTGTCTCTCTCCCCCCCCCCACAACCTTCGCCTGGATGCCCTCCGTGTTGTCTGCCCCCCCCTTTACGTTTTTGCTCACTGGCATGACCTGGGGAGGAGGGTCCTTGGGGAGAGGGGGCGGGGGTCCACCTCTGCGCAGTCCTTTCCCATCTTGCTGGCTGGCGCCTCCAAACCACCAAGGGCAAAGCAGCTCGGTCGTGTCCACAGGGGTCTTGCCTTCAGTGTGGACATCCCAGAAGGCCCTTTGGTGCGTTCTGCCTTCCAGAGACAATCGGCTGGTCGCTCTGGTGTGGCACATAACGCCCCGGGCTGACCCAGCCGAGCTCCTTAAGGGCTGCCAATCCAAGGCCAGCTGACCAAGGCAGCTGATCCATTATTAGCGACTGATATCTGTCACCTAAGTGCTGCTCAGCCATTGAGGTGAAAAGGAACCAGACTTAAATCTTCACTCTGGGGCTGAGGGGACTATCGCACATGGTGTCTCACTCCGGAGGAAAATTCTCCAGCATCCTTACCGAGGGGCTTCGGGAGTTCGTCACTTCTATCTGACCCTCTATGGATGATTGCAAAGGGGTAGACGTGTCAGCCCGCCATAGCAGAATGTGACAAAAGTCCAGTGAGGGTTACCTTAAAGACTAACAACGTACATTTCCATACGAGTCACAGCTTACTTCCTCAGATATGTTGAGCTGTGACTCGTGAGAGCCAGTCTGGTGTGGTGGTGAAGTGCGCGGACTCTAATCTGGGAGAACCGGGTTTGATTCCCCACTCCTCCACGTGCACCTGGCTGGATGACCTTGGGCAAGCCCTAGTTCTGATAAGAGCTGTCCTTGAAAAAGAGCAGTTTCTGTCAGAGCTCTCTCAGCCCCGCCTACCTCACAGGGTGCCTGTTGTGGGGAGGGGGAGGGAAAGGAGTCTGTAAGCCACTCTGAGACACCTTTGGGTAGTGAAGGGCCATGGGGTATAGATCCAATCTCCTCCTCCTCCTCCTCCTCCTTGAAATGTATGTTGTTAGTCTTTAAGGGGCCCCACTGGACTATTGTTGTATTTTAATCCTCTAACGCCCTGGCTGCAGGTCTTAAGAAAATAGGATTTCCATACCATGCACCCCTGGGCCGGACTGACGGGGGCGTTAAGGCCACCTTGGGTGCAAACGTATCCCACTGGCTGGCTCCTGTCACGGCTGCCGTGGAGCAGGCCCTGATTGGCCACAGGTGTGTGGGCTCGCCCCCTATCCCCCCCCCCCCGTGGTCATTGAACCAGGAAGCGGGGGTTGTTTTCCAGCCTTAGTTGGAAAACTGATTGTTGCTGCCCCTTGAAGATAGCTGCTGGCAGAACAATCAGAATAATTCTTTGCAGTGGCATTGTGTGAATTCCCCCTGTCGGGGATCGGATGATCACCTGTCACTGGCACCGGGGGGGGGGGGGGGAAGCGGGAAGGGACACCCCTTTGTGCATCAGCTGCGCTTGGACACGGGCAGCCGATACCAAAGTGTAACCGGAGCGGAGTCGAATATCTATTTTGGGGGACGCTGGGAGGCTCTCGGCAGCCTTCTGGTGGGCTGGGCTCAGACCCTAGCTGGCAGCACCGATCTGCACGGCACCCAGGCTGAGCCCCGTGGAAAAGGGATGGGGTCCAGGGCATCTCTCCGTCTGCACTCAGTCACTCGACCAGGGAAACCTCGTGGCTTGCAGATTAATGTATGAATGCACACGCATGCTTGATATTGCTAGCGGCCTGACTCAGGCGCTCAATGTGAGTCTGTGGGATGAGTTCTAAGCCAGCCCCAAAGCCCCGGGGGAATGTCAGGCTTTCTGAAGAGGCAGCTGGAAGCCTTCATGAGGCCATTTGGTGGAGCAAGTGAGCCCATGGAAGAAGCCGGAGCAGAGGAACTGGTGTCCCCACAAGCCAGTGTGCCTTCCTGTGTGTGGAGGGAGCACCACCTTCGCAGTCCCCTTGAGCCTTCAGGGCAGCAGCGTGGGGGCGTGGAGGGTTAAAGGCCGCCACATTTTCCTTTAAGGTCACATCGCCTCAGTTTCGAAGGGCATTTGCAAACCTAGCGAGAGGCACGTGAATGCAAACGTGTGAACCTGCTTTCCACTGAATCCGTCCTACTTACTCTGCGTTCTCTTGCTCCCGCAGCAGCTCTCTGGGGGCCTTGGGCAAGGGGAGGTCTGTCTCAGCCCTGTGGCTTGGGGGGGGGGTCTTTTCGTAACTGAAGAAGCCAGGGAACTATTGGGGCCGGGACCTTCTGCATGCAAGAACACAGGAACGGGGAGTTCCCGTTGAGCCCGTTTGCTGCCTTTGTCTAACAGTCCGCGCACCCTAGAAACATCTGTGCTGGTGGTTCACCCCGCACCGCCCACGGGGATTAGTCAGGGTAGCAAACAATGGCGGTGCCTGGTCCACATGTTCACTGGCTGGCTTTGGTCTGGCAGGGCTCCCAAAGGGGTTCTAGTGAACATGTCCTTCGGCCTACCTGTCGTGCTGTGGCCTGGGACAACTCTTGCTGCTTCTCTTTCACACACACACGCACGCGCAGGCATGCCTCGCCACCGACTGTGTAGCCGGAGTGCTGCAGTCTCTAAATTTAGAAAATGGTTCCTCCGGCAGCTGCTGGTCCCTGGCCGGCCCCCAAAGCTCCAGTCACACTTGGCACCGGTGGAAATGCTCCTGTGGGGATGGGCGGTGGCGGGGGGGGGATGCCTGCACACGGGAAACAGCGCAGGGTGCCCAAGGCTTGAATGTGCATGCTGTTGAAAAGATTCCCCCACCCCCGTTTGCTGGCTAGCACAGAGTCCCTGCTCTGTTTAGTGTGTCCCGTGCGCTTGAGTCTCTCTCTCTCTCCCTCCCTCTCTCCGCAGAAGAAGGGGAGGATGCCAGGGAAGCTGCCCTGAGGGATCGCTCCCACATTGAGAATACCTTGAAACTGAAGGAGGACAAGCCGGTGGATGACTACTCAGGTACCAGCGGTGAGAGGATGCCTGTTGCAGGGGGGGTGGTAAGGCAGGAGGCCCTTTGCCCCGGTTCGCCGTGCCTTGGTCTCTGCCATTGCCTCACGGAATATGGGGTGGCGCCTGTGGTCAATGGCCAGACCCACACCTTCAGCAAGGGGGCTGCATCGGAGTGGGCCGTGGGGCTCCCAGCAGAGCCCCATGCTCCCTCCAACCTCCGATGGCCTCAGCCCAAGGAGGGTCTCCCCCACCACTCTTCGCCTGGAGGCCCAGTGGGCCGGGTCCCCAAGACGAGCTCCTATTCGTCGTCGTCCCCCTCGGCAGCTGATGGATGCCTGCAGTCTAAAAAAAAAAAGAGCCAGTTTGGTGTAGTGGTTGTGAGCACGGAGTCTAATCTGGGAGAACCAGGTTTGATCCCCTGCTCCTCTACATACAGCTGCTGGTGTGACCTTGGGTCAGCCACAAGTTCCCTCAGAGCTGTTCTCCCAAGGGCAGTTCTCGAGAGCGCTCTCTCGGCCCCACCTGCCTCACGGGGTGTCTGTTGTGGGGAGGGGAAGCGAAATGCTCTAGGCTGGTCCTGCACTGGGCAGAAGGTTGGACTAGATGGGTCTGTATGGCCCCTTCCAACTCTATGGTTCTATGATTGTAAGCCGCTCTGAGACTCCGAGTGAAGGGTGGGGCACAAATCCAATCTCTCCTTCTCTCCTTCAGTTCCTCCCCCTTGGACGGGCACATCGCCGCTCAGAGGAGCTGCCCGCGTGACCCTCACCACTGGGCAGCCCCTCTCAGCCCCGTCGCTCCCCCCCCCTTTCAGTCTCCTCCAGCTTCCTCAGGGGGACAGGGGGCTTCTCTGGTTTTCTCCCACGGAGGACAGAAGTCAGGCGTGTGTGGTGGGAGCAGAAACCTCCACAGTCCTGGCACTTCTGTGCTTGCCACTCTTGGCCACTTGGGGTCCCCCTTGGCTCAGGGTAGAGTCTGAGGGTAGAGCCAGGAGGGCAGTCGTCCCGGTGCTCCCTCTAAGCTGCGGAGTCTCGTGAGCAAAACTTCTATTTTGTGAGCTCCTGGCATTCAAGTTGTGAGCGAGCGATTTGGCTCCTGCATAAATCAGTTTGGAGCCACATCCTTCCTGAGCGGAGACAGAAAGTGTGTGAGCCGGAGGCTAAGAAACGGTGAGCTAGTGCTCACGCTCACTCGGCTTAGGGGGAACACTGGGACTCCCAGCCCTTTGGAAGGAGGGGGGGGCGAGGGCAGAAGTGGGCGGCCTTCCTGTCTGAGGCGGAAGGGCCAGGGGTCCCAGAGCCTTGGAACCGCGCCTCTGCTTCTCGGAATCTGCAGCCCTCCAGACATGCTCGGAATTCGGGGGAACCACTCGGGCCTCTGCAGGGACCTCTGGTCCACCATGACATCACGCGGGGCGGGTAGCCGATGCGCTCCTACTCGGACAGGGCGGTTGAGGACTCCTCAGGGGACAGGCTGGGAGTGGGCAGTGGGGGACAGACGGGAAGGGAGCCCCTCCCAGGAGGAGATCGGGTGGTTCCAGGCCCGTAGCTACAGTCGGGCATCTTGGGGCCCGGCCCCCTGATTTACCGCCAAGGGCCCCCCGAGTTCCCATCCAGCCCAGGAGCTCCCTCGGGGGTGTGCAGGGGTGTGTGCAGGGCGCCCCCTGACTTATTTAAAGCCCCCCCCCCGAATTAAAAAAAACCCTGGCTGCAGGCCTGGGCGGTTCCATGTTCCCCCACCCCCCAGGGCAGCTTCCCCTTAGCCGGCTGGGCCCCCACCTCCATCCACGCCAGAAACACCCCCTCAGTGCTGTGTGACAGCTCTGCTCCCCAAAAGGGCGGCCCAGCGTCTTCCTTGGAGGACCCCTCTTCCCAAAGTCGCATCTGCTCTGCACCCCTGGGCCGGACTGACGGGGGCGTTAAGGCCACCTTGGGTGCAAACGTATCCCACTGGCTGGCTCCTGTCACGGCTGCCGTGGAGCAGGCCCTGATTGGCCACAGGTGTGTGGGCTCGCCCCCTATCCCCCCCCCCCGTGGTCATTGCCAATGCTGCTGCAGGCCAAGGCCAAGGCAAGTGGCGCTTCTGGCGCTGCCGCCTTGCTCCTGGCCGCCAGGGGCCTCCCTGGGCAGTGTCTCTGCCACACCCCGGAACTTTCCCAGCATGTTAAAGGGCCCATCCGCCCCCCACCCCCCCATACCAGTCAGGTTCTCTCTGCGACATGTTTGGTGGAAACACAACGGCCAGGAAAAATGCCCCTTGGGAGGGGTGTGTGTGTGTGTGTGTGTGTGTGTGTGTGTGTGTGCGTGTCCCCTTCTGTCTCCTCTCTCAGTCTGGTGCTGGGTGCAAGGAAGGTGGGGGCCTGGCCTCTGACTCGCTCCTGTCGCTCTCCCCTCGCAGCCACCCTGCAGCGCCTGAGGAAGATCTATCACAGCGCCATCAAGCCCTTGGAACAGTCCTACAAGTACAATGAGCTGCGGCAGCACGAGATCACCGGTAAGGCAGGGCAGGGCAGGGCTGGGGGGGGGGGTGGCAACCTGCCAGGTCTCGGGGCTGGGGGGGCAGCCAAAGAGAAACGTCTTCCTCTCCTGGCAGTCCTGTGAAGCGACTTCTCCTCCCGTCTCCACCCTTGTCCTCACGACCCAGTGCGCCAGGCGCCGTTGACAGTGCTGGAGAGGTGCGGACCCAGCTCAGGCATATCCACACTGTGGGAGAATTCCAGCTCCCCGTATCTGTTTCTTCCAAAGCAACCTGGAGACTGTTTTATTTATTTAGGAAATGCCTCTCCAGAGAACCTGTCCAAGCAGGCTTCATTTGGCTTAGAAAATGTTTAATTTTTTAAATTCATTTGGCTTAGAAAATGTTTAATTTTTTAAATTTATTTATTAGTTATATGCAGGGCTTTTCTTGTACAAAAAGCCCAGCAGGAACTCATTAGCATATTGGGCCACCACCCCCCACAGCACCACTCATTAGCACATTAGGCCGCACCCCCATGTTACCAGAAGTGTGGTCATCCAGCCACACCCACCTTTTGTTTCTTATTCTGTTTACCTTGTCAACAGACCAGAGCTTTTTTTGTAGCAGGAACTCCTTTGCATGTTAGGCCACACACCCCTAATGTAGCCAATCTGAATGGGTTTCTGCTGTTGGGTGTGGCCTATTATGCTAATGAGTTCCTGCTGGGCGTGGCCAACTCGGGAGCCAGCTGGAACTCCGTTCCTGTGCGTTCCTGCCCAAAAATAGCCCTGGTTATATGTCTATCCTGCCTTCCTTGCGGACGGGCTCAGGGGCGGCTCACATTTGCCGGGGTAATATAGCCGGTTAGCATAAAACACTTAAAACCAGCTAAAACAATCATACAATATTACTTAAAGTGCTCGCCTTGGTAGTCCATCATTAAGTCAAGGTAGTGTAGTATGAGATGACATACTAAGATCCCGACTTAGTAGTATTCCGGTCTCCCACGACAGGGGCAGCCCCCACCAGAGATGTTATTGATAGTAACAGTTGGTGGTAGTGGAGGGCGGCTCCTAGTTGAAAGCCTGGCGGAAGAGCTCCATCTTGCAGGCCCTGCGGAACTGTGAAAGGTCCCACAGGGCCCTGATCTCTTCTGGGAGCTCATTCCACCACTGAGGAGCCACCACTGAAGAGGCCCTGGCCCTGGTAGCAGCGAGCCTGGCATCCTTAGGGCCTGGAACAGTTAGTCGGTGTTGTGACCCTGACTGTAGTGTTCTCTGGAGTATGTATGGGGAAAGGCGGTCCTTCAGGTAGGTCAGACCCTGGCCATATAGGGGAATGAGTGGCTGTCGCTTACGCCCCGCAGTCAAACAGGCATGGCGGATAACTACCGAACTGCTGGAGTAAATTAGTATCATTTGAAAGCAGAGTTGGGAAAACAGACCAACGGTTTGTAGCAGGCCCATAGCTACAGTGGGGCAGTTGGTGGCCCGGGCCCTCTGAATTAAAAGCCCTGCCCCACAAATAGCCATGCCAGAAACCTTTAAAAACTTTTTTATTGAATATAATACAGGCATTACAATATAATAACCCTAACCCTAACCCTAATTTTTATCATGACCCAGGGGGTACAGGGCTAGCAGAAAGGGAGGGGGGTTGTTGGAGGTGTACTGAAGGTGCCCTTTGAAGCTTTCTTGCCCTGTGGAAGGGAACTCAAAAGGCATTCGAATGCCTCCTGAAGGCAATTAAATCCCCTCTGAGCTGTTTTTTTCCTAGGAACTGATGTGTTCGCTGCCCCGTCCCTTGAAAGGAAGGGCTAGAAACAGGCTCGGAGCCTCCCTCTTTAAAGACAGGCGTTCAGATTAATTTAATTAACTGTGATTCAACTGCCCCCTTAAAAATTTGAATGCCCCCCAAGGAAACAAAAAAAAAACTGGCTCCAAGCCTGGTTTGTAGACGGTGATGACGAGAATTCTCTGGACTCTCTTCCCAGAACTCCAACTCCCAGGATTCTTTGGGGATAGGATTGCCCATTAAACCAGCGTGAAAGCCGTTGTCTAAACAGGAGAGGGTAGAATGAAGACAGGAGCAGCTGAACTTGCACGGAGCTGAGAGAAGGGAGATTAATCAGAGGCTCCAATGTTCCCTCTAAGCTGAGTTGGTGTGAGCTAGCGCACAGTTTTTTAGCCTCCGGCTCACATAGTTTGGTCTTAGCTCAGGAAGGAGGGCTCCAGAGCACACTCATTTATGCAGGAGCCAAACTGCTCGCTCTCAACTTTAATGCCAGTAGCTCACAAAGGGGAATTTTTGCTCACAAGACTCTACAGCTTAGAGGGAGCATTGCTCCAGAGCCCGTGGCTGAGGGACAGTGAGAACTTGGGCCTTGAACATGTGAACAACACACCTGCCTTTTCCTGTCAGGCCCCTGGTGCTAGCTGTCTCCCTCAGGACAGGGCTTGCCCCAGGACCCTTGAACCCCAGGACATGCCACGGTTTGGATGCGGGACCTTCTGTGTGCCGGGGAGGGGCTCTGTCACCGACCCCAGCGGCTCCTGCTCCCTTTCTCGATTCCAGGGCAGTGGAGGACAGGAAGAAATAGCCCTGCAGTGCCGAGAGTTCCGGGGGGCGGGGGGGGGGGGAGGCGCTCCTTATTGTAGGAATGGCAGGCAGGCGAGCCGGCAAAGTCAGCGTCTGGAGGCATCACGCGATGTGCCCGTTAGGACTGGCGCAGCCCCCGTGCCCCCTTCCCGCACCTCCCACACTGCAAGGGCCCACCTTGGACTTCTCGGTCACGGGGGGGGGTGGCTGCTGCCTGCCTGCCTGGCAACGAACCCTCTCCTGGTTAGCCTTTCCCCACCGGCCGAAGGGGTGGCAGACGTCAGGCGGGCAGAGGCCCAGGCGTGGCCGGTGCTTGCGAGGGGCGGCCCTCCCCTCAAAGGCATCAGTCAAGCCCCCCCCCCCTGTTGCTTCTTCCATGGGTTTCTCCCCCAGTGAGGCAGCCTCCCATCCCCTGCCCCATCCCGTTCACCCCGCCCGAGGGATGGCCACGGGGAGGTGCCGGCAGAGTGTGCACCAGCCTGCAGGGGCCTGTGGTGGGGAATGCCACCACCACCCTGCCCGTGGTGCCCCTTGCTCCAGGAGGGGCCTTGCATGTGAGGGAACCCTGGTGTGGATGCATGAGACACCCCGGTGGTGGTGAGTGACGTTCCCGATCCCAGCCTGGGGTGGGAAGGCACTCTGGGATCCTCCACCATCCCGCTTCCTTCCCTGGAGGAAGCTGCTGCCCGTTTGTCGTCCCTTCCGCTTGCCTGACAGCTAACCAGGCCTCTCCCCTCGGCCCCTTCTCCTACTCACGTTGCTTTTTCTCTCCCCGGCCCTCCTCCTGCCTCTCTACCAGCTTACCCTGGACGCACCTTGGGCTCTTCAGCCACAGGTGGGTATGGCTGCCTGTGAATTGCATGCCGGCCAACCTCCTCCCAGGTAGCCACTCCCCACTGGCCGGAGGAACGGGCCTCCCGTGGCTGGCAGCACCCCCTACCCACGAGCAAAGCAAAGAGGGCAGCCCCCCCCCCCGGCACAGAGCTGGTGGCCTGGGGGGGGGGCTGCTTCTCCCACTGCCCTCCCCAAAGCCCTTCTGCACAAGCATCCCGCCCTGGAGACCTGGGAGAAGGCTGTGTCCTGCATCCTCTGCGGATGCTTCTGAGCAGTGTGGCTGTTTGCCTGATGCCTGGGCTGTGGTGAGCTTCATTCCGCTGACGCACACGGCCCCCAAGGGGGGGCCAAGGGGGAGCCGTTCTTTGAAGGGATCCAGGGAAATGGACTCTCCATTAGCCAAAGTCTCTTGTGCTTGGTTCATTCCGATGTCTTGAAGGAGCGTTTCGGTTCGGTGTAGTGGTTGGGAGTGCAGAGTCTAATTTGGGAGAGCCGGGTTTGATTCCCCACTCCTTCACATGCAGCTGCTGGTGTGACCTTGGGCAGGGGCGGATTAACCGTGAAGCAGACGAAGCACGTGCTTAGGGCACCAGGGCCAAAGGGGGCACCACAAAGCTGGGGAGAGGGTGAAAAGAACTTTATGTAGCCCAAGCCTGGCTTAGTTTGTACAGTAGATTGTGTTATCCTACGAATACATTTTTGTATTGCTGCAACCTGCATTGTGTCTATCTGGTCAGACAGGTCAACCACTAAAATGGACTGGGGGTTAGTGTGGAAAGGAGGGAGGGGGCACCAAGATTGGTCAGTGCTCAGGGCACCAGTGAGCCTTAATCCGCCCCTGACCTTGGGTCAGTTACAGGTTCTCTCAGGGTAGTGAAGTAAAAGATAAAGGTTTCCCTTGCTCAAAAGCCAGTCGAATCCAACTCTAGGGTTGCGGTGCTTATCTCCGTTTCAAAGCCAAAGAGCCAGCACTGTCCGAAGACATTTCCATGGTCATGTGGCCGGGATGACTAAACACCAAGGCGCACGGAACGCTGTTCCCTTCCCACCGAAGTGATACCTATTTATCTACTTGCAATTTCTTGCTTTCGAACTGCTAGGTTGGCAGGAGCTGGAACCAGAGACGGGAGCTCACTCCGTCATGCGGCACACTTGGGTCTCGAACTGCTGAACTACCGACCTTCCACAGCCTGCAGTTCAGTGTCTTAACCACTTGAGCCACCGCAGTTCCTGGGTAGTGAAGGGCGGGGTATAAATCCAACCTCCTCCTCTTCTTCTGTCAGTTTCTTTCACAAGTACCTGCTCCACTCAGTACACATGAATGCAGCTCTTTGCCTCTCCAGCAGCTCTCCAGGCTCTTAGACTGAGGTCTTTCCCCTCACAAACTACGCTCAGCTGAGAACAACTCACTGGTGATCCCTAGCTCTAAAGACGTCCGGCTGTCCTTGACCGGAGCCGGCCCTGGCGGAACTCTCTGCCAAGTAACATCTGCACCCGGGGGGACCTTCTGCAGTTCCACAGGGCATGGAGGGCAGAGATGTTCCACCAGGCCTTTGTCGGAGGACAGCGATGGGTACCATCTCACCTGGCACTCCCCCCCCCCCGCTGCTTTCCCGCTTATTACGAGACAGGAATGCATACTGTGTGTTTACAGTATTCTGGCGCCATTCGGTTGTTATTTTAACGATTTTTAACTCCAACTCCTGGATTTTAAATTGTATAGTTTTGTTGTTAACCGCCGTGAGCTCTGTGATTTCCAAGAAGGGTGGTTTACAAATCCAAAAGATAAATAAATAGATTATCTGGAGATGCCAGGGATTGAACCTGGGGACTTCTGCATTCGAAGCCAATGTTCGGGCACTGAGCCGTGGCCCCAAGGGGGATGCATTCCCTGTGGCCCCCACCTTGTGTGACCCTCTCCTCCTGTCGGTTGCATCATGTGGGGGTGGGAAGTGCCTCCAAGTCACAGCTGAATTCTGGCAACCCTGTGGGGTTTACAAGGCAAAAGAGGATGTTCAGAGGTAGCTTGTCATTCCTGTCTCTGCAGAACAACCCTGGGCTTCCTGGGTGGTCTCCCACCCGAGTACTAACAAGGGCTGGCCCTGCTGAGCTTCTGAGAGCTGGCAAGATCCGGCTAGCCTGGAGAGGCCCTGTGAGGGCATTTCACCAAATGGTGGCAAGTTCCACCAGCATACACAACTAGCAAAAAAACCCCGTGCACATATTTTCTCATGTCATAATACAGTGGGGAGAATTTGTCATGCGGGAAGTTGCCCGAGGCGTCTTCTGCAGCTGGGAGCCTCCACTTGCGCATAGGGGCCAGAAGGCGCCTCTGGGGCCACAGCTGGAAACTGGCCACCCTGGTGTAGCCGACAGAGTCTCTGACCGATGGGGCCAT